TTTGGATTCATCACTGATCCCCAAGTCTTTTTGTTGTGTCCATCATAGTTTATGGAGGATTAGAATCTCTTTAATTCTCTTGGTACATTTTCATTTTGTTTCTCTTTCGTAATTGCAGTAGGAGAGGCTCAGAATTTCTTCCTTCAATTTTCTTTTGTAAGTCAAAAAATAAGTTATGTGTTTACAATTTATAACCAAAGAAAAAAAGTATCTAATTTTTCACTGATGCATACGATATTCTATGCAATCCATTAGAAAATAGTATAGGGTCGTATCTTTTATTGTCGTTTAACAACTTGTGAAGAGAGGCTATGATTTTTTCAATATGCCTGATTTTATCATTCTGAAGAATGTTTTCTCCGATCAGTGCTTGTTCCTAATCATGTATCACCATTTCTATCCCCATGTTCAGTTCTTGTGCATGTATCACCAACCCTGATTGAGAAACTTCATCTAAATTCATACCTGGGTTAGGGATTGATGACATTTCATCTTACCATTTGTTTGAGAGAAACACAATCAAGGCAAGATCACATTCGGGCCACCCGATTCCTTTTTGAAGCTCAGATGAATCATGGGAAGGTGTTTGTTTAGGGTTCTAGGTTGCTGCATTTTCTTCTTCATTTTCTTTGCTCGGGCATTGAAGAGTTTCTTCCAACAAGTTTGGACATGTGTTCAGGTGTGAGTTTGTGGGTTTTTTCTTTTTTCTCCAGACTCAATTTACCTTCAGTGCTTTCTTGATTGGGCTGCTCTTCTTGTTTGGGACTCTACTCGGGCCCGCTTGATTGTGTCATTTTCCTTCCTCTGCCCAGGTGCACTTGGGCCTTGGATTGTTTGCTTTCGTATCTGGAGTTGATGTGTTTTTGGGCTTCTGGACTATAGATTGGGCCGGAATTGTTTTGCAAGCATTTCCGCCCGAGTGGTTTATAATTTGAATTTCAAAAACCGAATTTTTCAAATACGGGTCGGGTACTTTCTCCTTCGCCTGACTAGGGCAGAGTGTAGTGGTTTTCAGCAGTTCTGCGTACGATTTCTTGTCAACCATTGCAAAAAGGACGTTGAAACTACTATTGCAGGTAGGACAGCATAAAGAAATCTGAGATGGATCTATTGGTGGCTGCTGGGAACATGAAGGAGGCTTTTTAATGTTTATAGGAGTTGTGAAAGGATTTTGTAGGCGAGTTTCGCTAAGCTCGAAAATAGCTTTTATGATTTTCCACCAGCCCCCCACCTCAAGCTTGGTTATAACCGTCTATAAGTTCACTTCAAAAGTGTTAACCAAAAAATGTCCAAGATGATGGATAAAGTGGACAACAAATTTGAACATGCTTTCGTGGAGGAAGGCAAATTCCAGATGCAATGTTTGTGGCTAATGATATAGTGGATGACTTGTTATACTAAAAGAGGGAGGGAGCTCTTTGCAAGTTGGATATGGAAACGACGTATGATCATGATAATTGGGGCTTTGTCGATTATATGTTGAGGAGCATGGATTTTGGGGAGGACACGTGGAGAAAGTGGATTAAATCCTAGATTACTAAAACAGCTTTTGTAGTCTAGCGAACGAGGGTTCATTTTCTTTTTTAAGACTTCTAGGGGGATCAGACAAGGTAATCTATTATCTCCTTTTCTTTTTGTTGTTGTGATGGAAGCGTTGAATAAGTTGTTGTCGAGAGCAAAGGAGTTGGAGTTGTTTAAAGGTTTGAAGGTGAGCAGGTATGATCATATAGAGAAGATAATGCACATATTTTTTGCAGACAATACTTCAGTTCCTGTGAACCAAAAGAGAGAGCAATGCTCAACATCAGATACGTCTTATTACGTTCCCAAACGGTTTCAGGATTTATTATTAACTTAATCAAGTCTAAGTTGGAGAAACTAGATGATGGGAAAGATGATATTAGATTAGAAAGGGTACTAGAGTGTACAAGGGTGGAACTCTTGATCAAGTATCTGGGTCTACTTTAGGGGGTCAACTACAAAGATAAGAGGACATGGGATCCAGTGGTAGAGTGGTTTGAAAAAAGGTTGGCAGGTTGGAAGAGAAACCTTTTATTTAGGAGGCGATTTAACACTTATTAAAAGCACTTTGGCTAACTTACCTGTTAATTACATGTCTCTTCTGACAACACTAGTAAAAATGGCAAAGAAATTTGAATCTGTCCAATGTAGATTCTTTTGGGGGGGATTTGGAGGAAAAGAGGAACCATTTGGTAAGTTGGAAAAATGTCAAAAAGCCAATGTCTCATGGGGGCTTGGGGTTTAGATCTTTTGTTGAGATGAATATGACTCTACAAGGGAAATGGATATGGAGATTCATGAAAGAGAATGTACTCTTTGTAAAGAGTGACCAAAGCAAAGTCTGGCACCGTGGAGAGTGTTGGTTTCTAGAAGGGAGGCAATACCACACAAGAAGAGATTGTCGAGGAAAATTAGTATGGGTAGGTAAAAATTTCAGGAGCCCATAAAGTGGAGTGTAGACAAGGGGGGACACAATTAATTTCTGGCAAGATTTCTGGCTGAGAGGGGGAGTTTTAAATGACTAATTCTCTCAAATTTTATGTTGTAGTACAGTATAAATATATCACAGTACATGAATCATATAGAGATAATGGATGCAATAGAGAGCGCATTGTGTTCTTCTGCTCCATCCAAAGAAATGGTGTTCTTGCTACCTTTTTGATTTTCAGCAATATTAATGATATCTGACTTGCAACCAAAAAAAAATAAGTGTTGAAAGGCCTCCTCTCTACGACCGAGAATCTCCTAAGGGCAGAAAGTCGGCTTTAAGTGAGAAATTACTAGGGATGCCTAGTCTTGCTAGATAGATAGAAACAATAAGCCTATGCAGATCTCTCCAAAAGTCAAGAGATCATCAAATATACCTAAAACTTTCTAGTGCTAGTATATTTATTAAAAAGTCCCATAACAAACTAACAATACAAACATCTATTACAGCTAAATAGTTCAAACTCATGTGACTTTCTCAACCAATTCATATCACATACAAGTCATAAAATAATCACCAATTCATGCTCCAACATTTAATAAATGTATGTAGAAAAGAACCAAAATTGCAACTTAGATAAACAGATAATTTTTTAGTTATTCAACATAACTGGATTGGACATTTTAAGGTAGACAGTGCAGCTATAGAACTTATGGAGGTGCATTACCCTAGATGTCTTCTAATACCTTTCAACCACTAGCACTATATTGGCATATAACTTGCACACACATATACAGCCAGGGAGAGTAAAGAAACACTTGATAATCAAAATTATATTTTGTTTTTGCAACTCAGTATAACTAAAAACAATTAGAGAACATAGTAATGTCAAACAATTTAAAGGCACCTTTTCCTGTTTGTAGAATTTCTTTTGTTCCTGTCATCAAATGGGCTAGAAACTTTGAGCGTGCAGCGTCATTTGTAAACAAAGAACGTCTCACAGAAGCCAGCCTTACCAAGCACTCCAATGCCTAAAGACATAAACAAAAAACTTCAGAAATATATCCGATACAAAATGGATCAGATGCTAGCAAACTCATCAGATTTGAACACAAAAGATACAACAGGTCAAAATTATTACATTATTAAGCAAAAACCATGAGTTCTCAAACTAAAATATTACACATTCATTTATTGTCAATATATAACAAAGCAGAAGTCTTTAACAAAAGAACTTTGACCACAAGCCCTGATCAACCTATACCGCATTTGATTTTTAAATGAAAACTAAAGGATCATCAAAGAACATTTTGAAGCCCTTTTTGTGTCTAGGCAAGCTCATATGTGGCCATAGTGTACCAATGGGAATAAAAGATATGGGCTAGAGCTTAATACTTCTTTGTTTAATTTTCTCTTTCCTTTATGATGTGATCCTATATAGGAGAATCAGTTTCTTTCTGTGCTTTAATGTTATTCTTTCTTTTTTTTTCTGTAAGTTGCTTTACTCCATCATCCGTTCGTATAAATTGTTTCAACTTTTTGGAGAATTAACGAAAATGTATTAACCAGGCAGACGACAGGGTGCTACTCAGGTACAAAAGAATGTGTCAGTTTACAACTCAGTCAAAAATTTAATAAGCTCTGCAAAATCCTCTACAGAAGAAGAGGATAAACCTTTGACAAAAGTGTACATTTTGCAGGCAGTATTTGCTCTTTTATAAGCCATTTACAACTCAGTTGCCTTGATATTAAAGTGCATATTCTTCAGGTGTGAGGATCCTTGTACCATGTCATTTTGTTCAATATTTCCTTAATATATTGTCCTTCTGGCATTATATTTACTTCATTGTTTCATTCTATGCCTAATCCATTTCTAGCAATAGTAACCATTCTGTAAGTTCCCAGAGCCCTTCATGACATTAAAACATTACAGAAAAAGTTGACATAGACAAACCTCCTTTGAAAGAGGGGCCATTGTGATAGCATAGTAGTCAAAAAATATCTGCAGTGTAGATGAATCCTCTAACACCGGTCTCCAAGATGATGGGATCTGAAGAATTGCCATAATATGTTACCAAATTATTAAGAAAAAAGACAGCCGAAGATATTTAAATGATCAAATGTTGTAGCAAAAATAACAGTAGTTATATATTTGTAAGGGTACCTGGACTGTACCAAACTCCTCTGAGCTTTCATCAATTGATGTCCCAACAAAATCAAAGGACAAACATTTAAGCGCAAGAGAGAGTGACAACTCTTGTAAACGAATTGCAGCTGTGTTTATATAACATAGAACCATCAAAATGATTACCACTTGCAGAAGCACATATATACATATATCTAGCATGCATGTCTATAAGCATATGCATGCAAAAATGCTTGAACTATGGTTGAGTTTGTCTCTTTACCACTTCCTCACTCACCAAAGCTTCTAAGTTTTCTCCGCTATATTCTTATTGCAATAAATAGTTATATAGGGAGAAAAAAATTGTTTCCTCCTTTTCCAGGGTAAAACTGTAACTTACTAGGTTATATATCATAAAACAAAAATCTCATTTAGGATAGAAACTAGGCATCCCTGCTTTTCAGATATGCACTCTGCTAGTTTTTTTTTTTGGAATAAATGAACTCTGCTAGTTTTGGGAGACAAAAAGGAAATAACAAAACAGAACATTTTTCTAACCTTGGCTTGAGAAATATCAAAAAGTTGCAATATATTTCAAAGCCTCATACATCAGTCACACATTACATGCATAGGGATATATAATTATAGATAGACAGATAGACAAATTATAAATGGAATTGCATAAATAGGTGGGTGCGTGGGTGGGGTGGGTCGGATGTATATAGAGAAAGAAGGGTACACTTAGACCAAGATTAAATGTCACATACTACCATCATTTTTAAGTTGACGCAATGATGTCAAAGATATCTGGAATACTTGAAAAAGTGCTTGATCCCTGAAAGAGCAAGCAACTCTTCGATGATGTGTTGAAGGCAATCCCGGAATAGGCTGAAAGTCATGGAGCCAGGAATACAATAAAACTTATATCAGTAATAGTTTGAAAATAAGAAACAGGAATAACAAGAAAGGAGAACAAGAAAAACAAAGATAATCAATTCAAACTAGCAACAATTAATAAGTTAAAATTATCAGCTATCAGTTAGTAAGGATACAATTATTTACCTTCTACAAAATTTACATAACTTAACATATCCTAAATTTCAATTCTATCAGAAAAAATTAAAGATGAAGAATGAGAAAATCATTACAGAAAAATATTCTAAATTCCTATAAATGCTACTTGAAATAGGAAATCTTCCCACATCTGGCCTTTGATTTCAGATTGACTCTTTGGGCTTTCATACTTGGAAATCATTTTTTGAGTTTCCTAGCCACAGTCCTACTACAGTTAATTTTGACTTTTCTCTCTTTTTATGAAGTAAAAGTCTCCTCTATGGTGAGAGTCCTCGCATGGGTAGCAGCTTTCACTCATTCAACACTAATGACTTGCTATCAATTCTAGATCTCCAAAAAAAAAAAATGCAATCTCCAGAT